CCCCGCGGGCGCGCGGCCCCGAGCAACAAAGCGGCTGGAACGTCCCACGCCTGCCCCGGCTGGCCCTGAGCTACAGCACTGCCGGGGGCTCTGGCGGGGGCGTAAAGCACTGGGGGCTTGATCCCTGGGTGCACTTGGCTGGGACAGGGAGGGCACTTGGCTCTTACAGCCCCACCACGCCGGGTGCCCTCCGCAGCCCTACTTTATGGGCGGGAAACTCAGGCACCGGTCGGCTAAGTGACAGGACCCAGGATCACACAGTGAGTGGGTGGCAGAGCGGGAAATAAAGCCACAGGAAACGGAGCCCAGGAGTCCGGACTTCCCACCCTCTCCGTGAACCTACTAGCCTAGTTCTGCTCCTGCAGCTGGGGCAGCATCCAGCCCCCCCGCCGTGCCGCTCTGACCACTAGACCCCACTCCCCTCCCAGAGCCCGGGACAACACCCAGCAGTCCTGACTCCCAGCCCGCTGCTCTAACCACTAGACTCCACCTCACTGGGGAGGTGAGCCTGCAAGGTCAGCAGCTCTCACAGCCCCAGGCTGAAGTCCCAGGCAGGTGAAGAACAGGGACAAAATTTCACCAGGACTCCAGTGACAACGCCCGCCCCGTTCTAACGGGTGAAACGCGGAGGAGAAGGGTCGCAGACACAGCAGAGGTCACGAAGGGGGAGCCAGGGCAGAGCAGGCGTGGAGGGCGAGCGCACACGCACGACCCGCCACGCGCTCAGCCCACGCCAGAGGCAGGAGCTGGAACATCCTGCAGAAATGTTCGAGCTGGAGACAAAAGGGTGATCGGGGGGGAGACAGAACAGCCCTGTTGGTACAGACTTTGCTGCAGCTCTGCACCTATCACCATCACTTTGGCTGGAGGAGATTCCTTTAATTGACTTGGATGGGCAAGACATTTTTTTAAGTCTTCCGTAAGCGCAAAGAGCTTCGCACAAACCGGCGATTGTTTTTCGGGCATGTGTTTCCCATTAAGCCCCCGCACGACTGGCTCAGCCGCTCTGCTGCATCAAGACGATGCAAAGGAAGAAAAACGCTTGTTTTCATCCACCAGCGTGAACTGCTGGCAGGACCGGCCGCTTCCCTCAGCGCGGAGCGAGATTTTCCCCTGACCCAAACCAAATGGGACTCGGCAAACGCCTCTCAGTTTGAAGGGCAAAAGCTCCCTGGGTTACATAAACAGTTCGGTAACGGGAAACACAGATCACTTGGGGCGGCTGACGTTTCCTATTAACCCGCATCTCCAGGCCCCTGCTGGAATGCCAAGCGCCTACGAGCAGATGCACGTGGATTGCAGATCACAACCTCAAGTTCACTGGTGAAAAAAACAAGCCCAAAGCTCCAGAGCCAGAGGGACACACGATCCTGCTGCGCAAATCCTGCCTCCGGAACCAGGAAACGATCCCGGGGAAAACAAAAAGCCTTTGAAAAGGCTCCGGCTTTATTCCCCCCAAAGGGCCGACGGAAGCGACGCGTTAGCTGGATGGAATTTTTGCTCCACTGCCTTCGAAAGGGCCGTGCTGCAAGGCCAGCAGGACCCCAGTGCGGACGATGCTCTCTGGCTACCCCATTTTCTCCTGTCTAAGGAGCCACCTGGGCACCTAACGAGCCATGGGAAGGGAAACAACGTGGGCAGAGGCCGGTGGCCTCTCTCAGGTGGGACGCTCTGGAAGGTCTGTAGGCCGCTGTCTACCAGGCATCGGAGCAGCCGGGCAGAAGCTTGGAACCCTCGTCGGCAGAGACGTTCTCCACGGCCCCGGTTCAACCGGACGGGTCTGACCGACGCATGAGGCCACCCAAAGTCCTGCCAACGGGGCCCCACCACCCCACCAGGACGGGTCAATCTCACACCCCAGGAGGTGCCCGAGCAACCTCCAGTCCCTAAGGCACCGGGCGGGTTTTCTGGCGCAGGGCATGTGTTCCCGAGGGACGACCAGCTCCTGGAGAGACCCAGGAGAGCCAACGCCACGTGGGAATTCCCACCCCATCGAGCACGCCCGGCAAAGCCAGCGCCCCAGCAGCAAGCCCCCGGGAGCGACCATCCGGAAACCCGCTCTCGGTCCTGCTGGTGGACGTCTGGGGTCTTTCCCCCACCTGCCACTCCCCACATTCCTCCTCCACCCCGAGGCAGCAAACCCAGGGCTCCCAACACGCTGCATTGCGGCCGCATCCCCTGCCATCAGCACCAGCAGGCCACGGCGATCGCCCCAAGCCTAGCGCAGCGTTCGCCCCGCCCCTGCCCCGGGCGCACCCGAGCGCCTGGCTGGCGGCGAGTGGGTGTCTTACCACAGCGTCCTGGAAGCGGATGCAGCGCAGCAGCTCCAGCCGCCTCTCGCAGAACTGCCGGAAGAGCAACCGGCCGATGGGCTGCTGGTCGCACAGGCTGTCGTAGTCCCGCTCTGGAAGGGAGAGCAAAGCAGGCAGTGGGCCCGTCTGCCGGCGTAGCAGCCCCTTGGGGGCCCTCCCAGCCCAGACCCCCCAAAGCTCGGCCCCGCGGCTTCCGGCCTCCGAGCGCGGCAGCAGCCAACCCAACCGCGGGCGAGCGTCACTGCCCGGCCCTGGAGCGGCACGTTCCAACGCCGATTCTCACGACCCGGGCGAAGGCAACTGCTGATGCCGCAACCCCCGACAACGGGACAGGAGCGTGGGCTCGGGGGAGGGGCTGAGGGGAGGCTTTGGGGAGCAGGAGGGGCTCTGGCTTTGGGGTGGTGGTGCTGTAACCTGGCCGTATTGCATGCTGTGGGATTCCCTTGTGTATTGGCCGGGGCCAGGCCGACCCTGTTCCCAGACAGGGACAAAGGAAAGAGGCGGGGGGAGGGCCCGGAGCTGAGCTAGTCTCGGCTGGGCTAGGGGGAGTTTTGGACCAAGGAAGGGGGTGAAGCCCCTTCCCCCCACAGGAACAAGGCCACTTGCCCTGGCTCCTGCGCTGACATGGCTCCGATGCTGCGCGGTGTCTCCGAGAAGCAATAAAACCTTCTAGCTACTGGCCGGCGGAGTCTCCCCTCTGGCTGCGGACGGGGCGCAGGGTGGGGGCGTCCCGACGCGTCGTCACGGGGTCAGGGCTGGGGCGGGAGGTGCATCTCTCGAGTGACTCCTGCCTCCCCTGGTGCCGCAGACCCTGCTGCCCCCAGAAGCAGCCGGCAGCCAGTTCCCAGCCCATGGGTGTGCAGAGCTGCTGCTCAGGGCAAGGGCAGTGCGGGGAGCCCCGTGCCTCCCCTCCCCCAGGAGCCAGGCCTGCTGCCGGCTGCTTCTGGGGTGCAAGAGAGGCAGGGAGCTGCCTCAGCCCCCTGCACTGCTCACCTGACCCCCTGCAGCCACGAGCCCAGCGCCCGGCCCCGGGCCGCAGCCTGTCAAAGCGGCTGCTCTGACGCCCCGCGCCCGCCCGGAGAGCCTCGGGAGCTGGCGGCGGTGGGCACGGGGAGCGCTGCCCCGGCTGGGGCTAACGGGTAACTCGGGGCTAATCCAGGGGGGAGGGGAGCTACGGGCTCTTCCCAGGCCACAGAGCCTCTGGACTGGGCTCATGAGCCATACGGGCCGGTGGCCACTGGGGAAGGCTCTGGAAGCAGGAAGCTGCTGCCCCAGCCAGAAGAGCAGAGCAGCCGCACGTCACTGCGCTGGAGACAGGCAGCGGGTACGCTAGGCAGGGGGAGGCGTGGCCTTCCCAAACCACCAGCCTGGCCCCGCCCCCAGAACACCTGCTGTAGGTGCGCTGGGGGCGGAGCATTGATGCCCCCAGCGCCCTCTCCCTGTGCTCCGGAGCCATGCATCACTCCCCTCCCGTGGTGCGGGGGTGGGGGTGGCTCCCGTGGGGGGTGCTAGGCGGAGCTAGGGGCTGGCCCCCCCCACCCACTGCCCACGCCCTGCTGCGCCTGTTTTAGCTCAAGTCCCTGGGGCGGATGCTGCACAGCGTGGCTGGGATTTCTAGGGGATCAGCTCCCCAGAACAGCGTGCGCCCTCCCTCAGGGAGCCCCCTCCACAGCCACCTGCACCCCCAAATACCCCAGTGGCCTCTGACGTCCCAGCGCGTCTGGGTGCTCAGCCAGGCCGTCTCCCCCACGCCCCCGGGGTCTCACGGCTCCCTGCTGGGCAGCGGGACGGGGGCCTGGCCACACAGCGCGTTCCAGGCCGAAGCCCCCACAGTGCCAGCTGTGTGTTCCAGCAAGACAAGACGGCGCGTTTCCTTCCCCCCGCGCCGCTCCTCCCTCGGAGCTGGGAACAGGCCCCGGCTCCCCGACCCGCATTCCCAGGCCCTGTGAACACAGCAGGACGGCCGAGCAGGCGCTGGGGGAGAGTCTGACGTCTCCGAGGGAGCCTGGGAGAAGGACACGCTTATCTTGGACGCTGCTTCCCCCAAGCGTGCCGGCCCAGCCCCCTCTGGCTCAGAGCCACCAAACGCCCCGCGGCTTGGGGACAGGGGCTGAGCGGAGCAGCACCATCTCCGCGGGTGGCGGGGGGGCAGAGGCGTAGCAGGGACTGGGCGCGAGCCAGGAACCAGCTGTCCCAGCTCACGCTGCGCTTCGGCCTTTAAGCGTAATAAGCGCCTGCCAGCTCGTAAAGGCAGAGCCGCGCCGGGGGCGAGCGCTGACCCCGCTGCAGCTCCCGCCCTTACTGACGGAGCGACGAGTGGAGGGGAATTCCATCGACCAGTCGATGAGCGGATTAAACGCCACTGAACACCCTACTCCCAGCCTGCGAGGGACGGACCAGGTCTGCTCCTAGCGGGGCTGCTCCAGCAAGTCCCCAGCTGCCGAGGGTCGCTCTGAGCCAGGGGAAGAGGCCCCCAGACCTCGGGGTGGACACACCCCAGCTGCCTCCAAGTCCCTCTGTGCTCCATGTGGAGATCGGCCCTGCCGGGGAGCGGGGCCTCGGCTGCCTTTGAACCTGCTGCCGGGAGCTTCCCTGGGATCCAGTCGTCACTCCTGGAGTGAAACTCCCCCGGCCGTGTCCTGCCCCCGGCCCTCTGCCAGCTGGGAGACGCCCTGGCACAGCGGATCTGCGTGTTCTCAGCCGGGCCAGGCACCTCCCAGAGGAAATCTTCCCAGGGCGGCCAGCAGCTGTGCAGCCAGGGCTAAACCCACAAGCCTCTCGTGCCTGCGCCTGGCCGGCCGCTGCGCAGGCTCCCCCGAGCCAGGCGGGAGGCGCCCGAGGCCAGCTGGAGGGGAAGGCTGCACCCCGGAGGCTGGCCAAGCCCAGGGTGTTGAGTCCTGGTGCCCAGGCGCAGCTCCCAGGAGGCCCCCTGGCAGAGGGCGCCCACCCGCGCCAGGCTCATCCCGGACAGGGGCATCTGCACACCTGGATACCAGTGTGGAGCCAGGCGGGGGCCCGCCCAGGCCCCAGGGCAAGGTGGGGTGATGCTGGGGCAGGAGCGTCTGTGTCCAGACCCGACGCCCTGCGCCCCTGCCGCCGGGTGCCGCTTTCCTCCCCACCGGGGCGCCGGCCGCACGCTGGGCAGTGCCTGGCTGTTGGCGGATGGCACAAGGTGTCTGCCCCCCAGCTCGGAGCAAGGAGCGCAAGGGCTCTGCAGCAGCAGGGAGCAGCCCCCAGCCTTGACCCTTTCCCAGCCTCCCTGCCCCACCCTTCTCCAATTGGCATCTCTCCGCCGTGCTGGCAGGAAACGGTCCAGCCGCGGCTGCCGGGCGCAAGAACCGGAGCCCGGGGCTCCCTGTGGATCTCTGGAGCCGTGACAGTGCCGGAGAGCAGGAGGCGCGGTGCAGAGCACAGCTCCGTGTGCCGGCTGCTCTCCCCCCTTCC